CGGTTTGGCACCGGTATCGGATAAAACCTAAACGATACCCATCCCTAGTTATAAACTTTGACTAAAATGTTTACACACTTTGCTTACATTCTGGTTTTCCAGTGAAAAAAATCAGCCCTCATTTGATTCTTGAGTCACAGTTTAGTGACTCTTCACAGCTTCTGTCTTTTATCCCCACTGCTCTGTTTGTCGAACCTGACATTTAGTTTGCCACTGCACGCAATGTTGTTCAGTTAAATGAACCAAAATAGCAGATTTCACTAGAAAATGTCTGCTTCTGATTGATGAGAACTTGAGTTGTCACTGAAGATGACCTTGACTGATGTTATACTTTTTACTTACATCAATTATTCAAAACAAAAAAGACACATTGAGTATCACGACAAGCTGGGCAGTCATGGCATAACATGAACATTCGTCTTGTTCCAACATGACTGTATACAAAGCACGCTCCATAAAGACATGGATGAAGAACTGGGCCTGGAAGAACTCTGTGCCTTTGGGATGAATCAGAGCAAGGCCAAAAATTCCCATAAACCTCATGGAAAGCCTTCCCAGGAGACTTTTACTCAAGTTATACTCATGTGTGTGAAGCCAGATGAGTGAATACTTTCAGCAATGTAGTGTGTTTCTCATACTTTTACTTTATAAAACTAGGGGTAGAAAATGTTTTGGAACAAAAGAGCATCAGTAATAATGCTGTGGTTATAAAACAATAACATATAAATAACTAACCCCCAACATGCCAGAAAAATGCAATATAACTCATTAAACTGAAATGGCAATAAAGCAGAGGGCATGACACAAGAAAGTCAGCTATGCTAACTGCTCTCAGCACAACCTAAACACAGCAGTCGTAACTAAATCTAAAGCAAAAGCTTAAGAAAATACACAGTAATTCAAAGAAAGTGCTTCACCCCTGTACTTCTAGTTGGTTTACTGACAACCACAGATTGCATCAGGCAGAGCAGACAAGTGTAGCTGATGATGTCATATTGCATCAGCTCTAACTTTGACCAATATGAGCATGCTTTGAGTTGCATCAGCTGCATCAGGGTCACACTCTGAACGTTTGATTTGTTAACCACGTAAGCTGAAGTAACTAGTGTTTCACTCATAAATACTGTGTGATATTAATACAATAAATGTGTTACATCAGTCAAGCAAACAGGCTGGAAGAAAAAAATTCCAAGGTAGTGCACTTTATTTGAACACTGATGTCTCTTAAACCATCAGTGAGACGTTTGCTGCTGCCTCACTGCTTTTGTTTTAGGGTTTTATTTTGCTGAATTTGTTTTCTCATCATTCTGGACAGCTCATTTTTTAAAAATTGTTTTTGTTGTGAAATGTAAGTTACAGAAAGCTGAAGAATTCACTGGGCAAAACTACATACATTAATAATTTGTAGATTTCAAAGACTTTAGATGTCTTACAATTTCTAACCGGTGACCAGTACGTACGTTTCTCGATCTGGCATGAAGAGCTGTAGATGTTCT